ATTTACTATAGTAATTTTACAGAAATCCTGACTGACTGCAGTAGTCATTAGTCTGCGCCTCAGGAAAGCTGGCAGTCTACAAGGCAAAGAACACAGTGGTCTGAGAAACCCAGAGGAAAGAGTCTTTTGGGGCATGTCTGGATCCCACCTAATCTGCTGGTAGCTGTTTGCTGTTTTTCTTACCTTGGTTTCCTAAGGAAATGGTGCCTGTAGATGGTGCTGGCTGTACATGTGCCTACCAGTCCTTCACTTAATTATATTTGTAACCTGCTGACTTTTCCAGTGTAATCATAGTGCTCCAGAAGCAGATATGCTCTAGGAGCACATTATACAGGTTCTCTACCAACAGGAGGATAGGTAGACAAGAAGGACCTTATTTGTGTTCACATAGCTGCTCTTTTTTATAGAAAAAATCACAAATTTGTGAGGAGCCAAGCATGAAATCCAAGGGCCAGAGTCTCCAGGCTGAGGGTAGAGTTGAGTCCTGCAATTACTTCTGCTGAACAGCGTATAGTGATGACTTTATTCTTTTCTCATTGTTTCCTAGCTCACTCTGCTTTTCCTCCAGAATACAAGGTCAGCACAGAATACATGGAGAGAGACCCTGCAGGAGTGTATCCTGCTTGTTCTGGGATGTATCCTTACCACCCATTTCCCATGGGGTTTGCCATCAACCAGCCAGGCTGTAAGGGAGCACCGTCACCTCCAGGGATTTCACTTCAGAAGGGTTTCCGACCCGTTCCAAGCAGCTCTGGACCAGGGAATGCAGCTTCTTTGTCAGTGAGTAGTGCCTTGTGGTTTTTTAATTACTTCAGGGAATACTGCTGGTTTTGCTTGTACTAGAAGATCTTTGAAGGTCTCTTCTTATTCTGGTCTGTTCTATTCTATTCTGTATTTTACTTTTAGCTACCTCTGAGCTGCATATTTCACTATGCGCGGGCTTTGCATGTGACAGCATATGGACACAAAATTGACCCTCCAGAAATGGAAATTTCATAGGTAAAGATGGAAACAGAAATTGTTTGATAGTGCAGATGTGTCCTGGAGAGAGAGAGAGTCTCTGAATATCCTTTGCTCCCTGTGTTTCCACAGATTCCAGATGGAGGTGGAGATTTCCATCAGGCGTACTACACTCCTCTGCCTCAGTTTGTCCCACCAACTTTTCTGCCAGGGGTTCATTATATTCCACCTCCCCTGTCACTGAATGTGTTTGCTGAAGCAGCCAAGGAAGCACACGGTAAGGAATTGTTAGATGAGCCTTGGGACATCCAATTTTAATCTGGTTTCAGTACCTAAACGCTGAGATGGATGCCCCAAGACACCTTGATTCTAGCTTCAGTTTTAAGGGTTTCCCAGATCCCTGTGATGGAGCCAGGAATGAGATCCCGAAAGCCCAGGTCAGACTGCCAGCTTGGACAGCTTAGCATGAGCAGTGTGGAACTTCTCGCACATTTGGAAAGCCTGCATTTTAATTGCTGTAGATGAAAGATTGAATCTTCAAGATCTCAAATTTTTCAGACTGAATCCCACAAGATTTTAAATTTCTGGCTAGGTAAATATAGTATGACCTCCTCTTTGGGGTCTCTTTCGTGTCTAGTGCCTATATGTGGACATACTGTGATCCTATCTGTAAGCTGTTCATTTGGCTGCAGCTAGCAGTGACCACAAGAGGGTAGTGCTGCCCAGAGAATTAACCACTAGCACTGGATGAGTCAATAGCCAGTCTCATAAGAAGTTCTTTCTGAAAGTGCAGATAAATAAGCACAACTTTGTTTCTCTTCTTGAACATGAGAAACTGTAAGTCCAACTGCTTATCACACAGATTATAATCATCAGCCAATGAAAAATGAAATATCTTCTATAAAAGGGAGGGAAAGCAGACTGATTTTCTCATTTGAATTAAAATGATGTTGATAGCGATCACATGGGATAAAATATAAGTTGAGGAGGTTTGGGCCTGATTTCTCCCAAAAGTCTCTTGTGCAGACTCATTTCTGTTAAACCAGTATCCTCGTAACTTTTCAGGACATTAGTTATTTTCAGCCAAACATAGCTGCTGTGATCAGAGGCCTGCACAGTTGATCTGCAGGGGAAGCATGTGCCTGCCACAGAATGGCTTGCAGCCATGACGTGATGTGGTGTTTGGCCAGCAGTCAGCTTGCACTCAGTTCCTGACTGCCGTGTGTGTACCTTGGCCAACAACCAAGCGCCTGCCAGTCAGCCCAGCAGTGGGCACGTATCTCCCAAGCAGTTTGCTTTGTGTCTGTCTGGAAAGCCAAGGAAAAGTAAGCAAGAGAAGTAGTGGATGAGGAGAATGTGAATGTGGAAGCATCGAGGTGTATAGACATCATGTAAATGTAAAGATATTCTAGGATATCGAGAAAGGCATCAATCAGAGCTTCAGCGCAGTGTGTAGATACTGGGCTGATGGAGGTAAGATAATATGGGCTGAGTTTGAGGGGAAGAGAGGAAGCTGAGAGCTGGCAGGCAAAGCAGAAATTGTATGTGAGGATTACTGAGTTGTGTGGTTTAGTGGAGATGAAATCTGGGGGATACTTGCAGTGGCAGAGAGCTTGTAGCAGTTCCGGGGTGGTGTGGGAAAGAGGAGGAACAGGGAGTAGCTGGTAAACTGGAAAGAAGTAGTGGCATTGCATGTGGGAAACAGGAAATGCAGACCTGCATTGGTAGAATAAAGCTTTACCGGGCAAACAATCGTGAAAACAGGCAACTGGGATAAATGAGGTAATGAGAGCACCCCCCTAGAGAGCAAAATGCCATCTAATGACTTCAGTCTTATTACTCACTAGGGAAATTACAACCCGGGCACAAAGCCATAGGAATCAGTGCATCATGGATTATGCTGTTCAGAGAACAAACTAGTCTTCCTAGTACCAGGGAGAAAGTACAAATTAATTCCACTACATAGTATTTTTGCTCCAGGATATGTAAGAGCTTGCAATTGTGACCCAGTGAAGGAGATGTTTCTGCATGAGGTCATAAACAAAACAGCCCTCCAGCAAAAGATACAGATAACGAAGAAAGCTACAGTGAAACTAACAATTCTTTGATTCTGGTTTTCAGGATACCTGAAAAAAGAGAAAAACTGTAACATTAAGTACACAGGGACATGTTAGGGTCACATCATGTCTTTTTTCTTAAGAAAGGAAGTGTAGGGTGTTGTGTTGTATAATTTTGGGTTGTATTGACTAGTAGTGTTACAGAAGGTATGTCCAGCAGAACAGCCAGTACAGTATTTGAGGATAGAGTCTGATTGCAAGTTGTTGGCTTTGTAAAATAGCAAGCTGCAGAAAAAGAAACAAAAAACCTATGTCTCCACATGAGAAGATGAGGGAGATGTACGTGAAAATTGGCAAGTAAAAAAACCTGTGTTTAAAAAAAAAATAAACATCCTAGATAGATTCAAAGAGACTATTGGTCAGTCAGTGAAGGCCTTTAAAATTCCCAGCAGTGTTCGTAAGGCATGCTGCAGGTTCACTGTGGCTAAGCGGGCAGAAGAGCCGGTCTCATACTTCTATTCCAGTGCAGCTTCTGTATCTGCCATCTTGAAGCAAGCGTTCCTGCTGCTTTCCTTAAGCCTAGCTGAAACAGTCAAGTGCTGTCTGAAGTACAGCATCTCAGATTGGAGAGCAGCAGCTCTTGATGTTAAGCAGTTTCCAATTAACTGCACTGAAAAATGAACTGGATTTACAAAAAAGCTATTTTGCATTGGGAGTTTCTCTCTGAAAGTGTGACTGATACCTGAAAGGCAAATTGAAATACAGGGATTTGGATGGGATTTTTTTTTTGTTTGCATTTAACTCCAATTCCTATTTCCTATTCATTTTTTTTTTTAGGTACTGCAGCTGACAGCCAGGATTCAGGGATGGTTAGTGAACCTAGCCAACCATCTTCTTCCCCAGAAGAAGCAAGCAGAGACCAATCTGTATGTTCTAAACAGTAAATAGTCTGGAGAAAAGCTGAGTGGCAGGGAGCACTATTTTCATTATTGAGGAGGGTGTTGTTAATATGAGGCTAGGGTGACACTTAGTTACTGAGCAGTCACAACAGCTAAAAGAAGGAGATTAATGTCTGCTCACTTCATGATCATGTTAGAGCTACCAGCCTCACAGCTCTGCTCCCTGGCAGTGTAAAACCCTTGTTTTCACTGCGTGAAAGAGGTTTTCCAAAGCCAAGGTAAATTGCATCCCCCTTAGGCAGATGGAAGCAGGAAAGAATTACGACTTTGATTTCTGGTTTCTTTGCTGAAGTTGGATGGCTCCTTGATTTTTGGAGTGAGGTCTCCACACCATGTGCACTCTGTGGCCTTCTCACGTTCGTGACAGTAATCAAAAATTGCTGTGTTGTTTGTGTATCAGTTTGCTGTAGCAGAAACTCGGTTCTGAGTATTATGGAAGAGTTAAGTGATGTAGAGCCTGAAGACTGAGAGAGAATGGGAAGACAGTATGGGTTGCTGATACCTAAATCAGGCTTCAGGATTTTGAGTGCCTTTGACAGTTCATACGTTATTGCAGTGCTGTTTAGCTCAGTACAGCTGAAACAAACAGTACAGATTTTTTAAAGGGTTCACATAGAACAGCTTTGTGCATGTGGATTGGAAGTACACTGGCATAGCAAAGATGTGATGTCCTAGAAGGTAGGACAAAACACCGCTTAGAATACCAATTGGTCAAGGCTATACATATCATAATTTTCAATAATACTGTTTAAATAAAAATGAAAGATGCATTCCTCTGCTGTTTTGCCTAAAGCAAGTGCTTTCTGTATTAAGCGGATCAATTGTTAATGTTGGAAGAATGTTGGAAGAATGTTACTTCTGGGTAATTAAAAAGCTTTGAATTGTTTGTTTGGTTTTGATGATTTGAGGTTGTATATTTACATGTAATTCTTCTAGGCAAATTTCAGGTGTTGCCCTGAGTAACAAACCTGCTTGAAGTAAGAGCCAGGTTTCAGTATTTTTATTCTGAAACTTCTGAGTGTAGATGACCACTACTGTAGTAGGTGCTACTGAAGACCATAGAGGTGAGTGCAATAAAATAAACATTCCTCTCTGCTACTTACACTAACAGTCCCTTGCTCAATGCAAGATGTAAAGACATTAGGCTGATAAATCCCTTTTTAATATAGCAGATGGATGATTTTCAGCACACAGACGGGGTTTTGGTGAAAGTAAAAGTGGCAAACTTAAGACTGCCAAGAGGAGAGACTGAAAAACACGTGTATCTATACCAAATAATCTGGCATACAACTTGTTACTTGCTAGATTTACAGCAGCATCTGTGCTCCCAGGAGTATCCCAAACCTCTTAAAACTGCTGTGTTTGGGAAAATCTGAGTATTTCTGCAAGGTGTTTGAATGGAGCAAAGCTCTTTTTAAAATAAAACAATCTCTGAATAGAAATACCAGCAGCACTCGCAAAGTAGATATCTTCTTTGGTATCTACTTTGGTAGATGGAGTTGTGTGAGTTTGGTTTTTTTTTCTTAATATATTTAAGATTTAAGAAAAAGGATTTAAAGAAAGAAGACAAACAGTTCAGTAGTCTCCTACCCAGTTATTTTTCCAAAGTCCTATTCAGCGTTGTACTGCACTCCTTAAATCTCCAAAGCAGGAAGGATTCCAGCCCATTTCACTGGCTGTAAAGCACAGGCATTGCAGATACACTTTATATACACTACCATTTTCTCCCTGTGTTTCTGTGCCAGTGATTGCTTCCAGACTGTCAGGCCAGGCTCCTTATTCTCCTTTTCCCCCACCTTTTGAACTGTCATTGAACCAAACTTTTTGGTGGTAGGGCACTCTAGTAGGATTTCTCTCATTGCATTGCTACCCACCACTGCTTATCTCAAGAGGGACGTGGCAGATTTAAAGAAGACCTAGAGAAGGTCACCTGACAGAACAAGAAAATGGAGCAGTTGCCTTAAAGGGAAGTTAAAAAGGACTTGCATCATCTTATTTTGGAGAGGAGAAGGCTGGGGGGGAAGAGGTGATCGAGTTTTAGAATATAACAATGTGGCAAAATAGATGCAAAACCATTACTAAGGCTTACTGTTTCCAGACACATGAAGGACAAGGTGACTTGGGATGGGGCAAATGATACCTGACCATGTTGACTGCATTCTGTAATAAAATGATACACAGCTACCCCAGTCTGAATTCCTAGAGGTGGGCGGTTACAAAGAAGTAGAGTATTGGCAGTGGGGCACATGCTGTTTCAAATGTATGAACATTGCTGGGGTTGGTGTTGTGTGAATAATCAAGTTTCAGATTTTTACATTTTGGGAAATTTGTCCCAAAGTTCTTTTGCATCTGTCACTGCATGGAAAAGTCAATTACAGAATCACAGAATTGTAGGGGCTGGAAGGGACATCTAAGGATCACTTAGTCCAACCCCCTGCAAAGCAGGCTCCATCGGCCAGGCTGCACAGGTAGGCATCCAGACAGGTCTTGAATGTCTCCAGAGAAGGAGACTCCACAACTTCCCTGGGCAGCCTGTGCCAGTGCTCCATCTCCCTTACTGGGAAGAGCTTCTCGGACACATTTGTGCAGAACTTCCTAGGCCTCAATTCATGGCTGCTTCCCCTCGTCCTGTGGTCACACAGCACTGAAAGCAGCCTGGCCTTGTCTCTTTGCCTGCTGCACCTTAGATATTTATAGACATTGGTCAGATCCCCTCTGAGTTGTCTTTTCTCAAGGCTGAACAGACCCAGGTAAGACCTCATAAGAGAGGTGCTCCCTTATCATCTTTGTGGCCCTCTGCTGGACTCTTTTCCAGGAGATCCCTGTCTTTTTTTGTGCTGGGGAGCCCAGAACTGGACACAATTACTTGGTAAGAGAGTAAAATGTGATATGTGCATTTCTAGTTGACAGGCAGAATTGTCTTATACAGTATATGGATATGACAAGCACTCATTCTTCATTTTATGCTGTTTGTCCTTTTTAACCAAGGAAGAAATACTCCTTTACAACTGCTATTATAATGCTGTTCACTTTGGGCTTCAGAGCAAAAACTTTTCATTCCAAACTTAGTGCTAAGCAATGTTTCCAGAACTGTGATCTCTTCTGTCTCCACTTATTTAAATTAAACATCTCAGGATAATGAAATCAATCCGGTATGAAATGAATAATTTGGATTGGACAAGTCATTCCTGTGTTCTTCTGACCTAAACTGAAGCCATGTAGAACTTGGGCAAATTCATAAAATGTGGGGAGAAAAAGGAAAGCTAGCTATGAAACCCGCTTTTGAAATCTTTCTGTATGCAGTAGGAATTCTTTATGTCATCATTATTATTTTAGGATTTCTAAGGATTAGACTCCCTTGCTAACTCTGAACATCTGAAGATACGATTTCTAACAGGTTACACTTGCGCCAATTCTCTGTCCTCATGGCAAACTCCGTGGGGTTTGTCACAGAGCAGCCAGCTTTTGATCGTACTCTGAAGGTTAAAACCTAAAATCAGGAGCCAGGTCTTTAAGGTTTACTCATACAACTGATTTCATTACTTTCAGTGCAATTATTTGCAGGGGTACGGAGCTGACAGCGTTAGGTATGCAAGTTTGGGCTGCAGGTTTTACACAGAGCTGTCTGTGACACTGTCCAAAACCTCAGATTATTGTAGATCTGCATTTTCTGCAGAAGCTTTGGAAAAAGGAAAGCAAACCCGAGGGATTCTTGAAGAATCACATAGTATGTCCATTCAGCAGGCATATGTAAGATACATTTGTCCCCCCACAGCCAACTGCAATATCTTAACATTTCTGTGGTGTGCTCTTCCACATCTGCACCGCAGCAGGTTTTTGTATGACAGTGATAATAGCAGTCTTACTGGTGATTTGTTTTTATTCTTCTTCTTGGATTTAAATGCAGCCAATTGCAAACCTCTGAATCCACAACAAGACTATAGCTGTTTTTTTCCATATTAATAAGTAATTAATTTTAACCAGCAATCCAATAAAGTCAGCTTGTTGTAAACAAAAATCTCCCTCCTCCAAAAAAAAAAATAATTTTCATGACAGAAAAATTATTATGTGAAACATACCTTCTTTGGAACAGTGGAAACTTAAATCATTCTTATGTGTAGATGGGTCTGGTTTTCCTATTTTTTGCCCAATATTTTCTTACTGCAGGACTAGCAGTAGCACAGATTTGTGTCCTTACTTAGCTTGCCAAATTGTAATAGAAGTATCCAAATGTAAAGAAAGACTTTATGGAATCTGTGCCTGAAATGAGAGTGTCACTATATGCTGTATTGCAGCACAGGCCATTGAGAGAGCTCCAGATCCGTTACAGATATGGGCAGTGATATCCTGATTTGCCTGCTCAGGGATTTAACCTCCCTGGGTATCCTTACAAGCATGTCTTAGCAGACATCAGTAAGGCTTAAAAAGCCTAGGCAAGACTACTCCTTGGGGCTGGGGGTGGGAGGTAAAAGGGCAGTAGGGGACGATTTCCACATTTCTCCTCCTTGACACTTCTCAGCAGCTCTTCAGATGTCCTTCTCAGCTGTGCAGTGTTACTGGTGACCTTGCTAATGACTTCACGGAGTGATATCTGGATCTAACCATGGCTCTAATGATGGGCCAGTTGTGATCTCACATTCTCACAGAATCACAGAATGGCCAGGGTTGGAAGGGACCTCAAGGATCATGAATCTCCAACCTCCTGCCACATGCAGGGCCACCACCCTCCCCATTTAATACCAGCCCAGGCTGCCCAGGGCCCATCCAACCTGGCCTTGAACACCTTGAACACCTTGAACAGGGCATCCACAACCTCTCTAGCTTGTATTCTCTATTTTAATATAACATAATTTATAATCTTAATTTATATTTTGTCTTTAGTGGAGGCTTTTGTGGTTTCACTTACTAATTTCTTCCTATATTATATAGTGGTTAACAGCCATGTGCCTAGTTTCTTGGGAAAGCCTTCATAGATTTTTCAAGATGGGTGTTGCTTCTGATCATGCTAGAAATGGGCTGCTCTTCATAATCTTCCACAGTAAATTTTCACTTGTCTTCAGATAATTATGAAGTGCAGACCCCGCAGACTTCTTTTCTCCAGGCTGAACAAGCCCAGCTCCCTCAGAGGTGCACCAGTCCCCCGATCATCTTTGTGGCTCTCCTCTGGACCCTCTCCAACAGCTCTCTGTCTTTCTTATACTGGGGCTCCAGACCTGGACACAGGACTCCAGATGGGCCTCATAAGAGCAGAGGAGAGGTGGACAATCACCTCCCTGTCCCTGCTGGCCACCCCTTTTCTGATGGAGCCCAGGATGCCATTTGCACTCTGAGCTGCAAGAACACACTGCTGGCTCACATTAAGCTTTTCATCCATCAGAACATCCAGGTCTTTCTCTGCAGGGCTGCTCTCAAGGACTGCTCCTTCCATTCTGTATGGATGCCTGGGATTCCTCTGGCCAAGTGCAAAAATTTGCACTTTGCTGTGTTGAACCTCATTAAGTTCACCCAGGCTGACCTTTCAAGTCTGTTGAGGTTCCTCTGAATGGCATTCTTTTCTTTGATTGTGTCAACCACACCACTCAGCTTGGTGTTCTCAGCAACCTTGCTGAGGGTGCACTCAATGCTATTTGTCGATGTCATTGGTAAAGACGTTACAGAGCACTGGTCCCAAGACAGATCCCTGGGAGATGCTGTTCGTTAACAGCCTCCACTGGGACACAGAACCATTAATCACCACGCTCTGTTTGACCCTCCTGGACTGGCCTTTCAACGTACCCAATGAGGATCTGGGGAAAGCTCAGGAAGATGGCCCTTCCTGAGAAGGGTGGTTGGGCTGAGGTGGTTATACATCATTGCGGATGCCCTTAGCCAGCTCCATCCACAGAGGGCCAACCTTGTTCTGCTGTCTGCTGCCAACGAGGGCCAGTGTCACCTAAAGGAGAGGTGGTTTGGAATGCAGTACAGCATGGAAGGTAAACAGTGGCTGAAACATAAAGAGTGCCTGGACTGTGCTCAGAGCAGCACAAAACACACCGCATGGAAGCAGGGGAGTGAATCCTCCATGGGAAACTGACTTTGTCATTAGTCAAGTGCTCCATCCTGCTCTGTAATGGGACTTTGGCATCTTTTGACTCCTGCTCCCTGGGTTTGTAAGTGTGAGGTGTTTTTTGTTAGCCACCAGCTTTGCTTTGAAGGTTGCTGACTGCCCAGAGACAAAACATCCCATCAAAATAGTGAGCACATGGCAAAGCTGCCAGTGGTACAAGAAGGACCATAAACTTAAAATCCCCAAAGGTAAATGCTTTAAGGCTTTCCTAAGATGACAAAGCCCTTGTTTTTGCCAGCTGGAATTTATTTGAAAGGCAGTAACTCATGCAGATCTTCACCATTTAAGCTCCAGTGTTTACTGCCAGCTCTTCTATGATCCTTTTGACACATTCATTGGCTGCAGTACGAGAGGAGCGGGTGAACTACCCTGCAACTAAGAAACCCAGCAGATCCTACAGGCTAAAAAGTGGAATCACCAGAACATTCTGAAAACGTTGGCTTCAGAGAGCCTGGCTATGGACAGAATTTGGCATACGGAACAGATGACAGTGGCAGGTTGTGAGAACAAAGAACATCACAGCTAGAGAAAGCTGTAGTCTCTTCTACAGGCAGAGAAAGATAAGAGTCTGCATTTGGGACACGTGTGGAAGATGTACTGCTCTTTTCAAGCAGAACAGCAGGTTTTAGTGTCTGCTAAGCATACATTCTGTGGAATTTCCTAGAGTTGTTTGTTTGTATTGATAATGATCACACCACGTGTCGAAGCATCCTATGAAGTACGGCTTTGTGTTTTCTAACAGTTGATATTTGTAAGGAAAGATTTAGGATTGAAAAAGAGAAGCATTTGATGATGACTTAATACAAGCAAAAATACTTCCTTATAGCTCAGTGACATTTCTCATTAGATTTGAATTGTGACCATAGAATGTGATGGAAAAAAGCTTTGCCTTTGGGAAGCTGTCACTTGCTATGTCTCACTGAAGTCTCTCTTCCCCACCAGGTTACGTTCGTTTCCATCTGATCTCTCCGTTGATACAGCGGTCTGCAGAGAAGTAAGGGCTGTGTGAGTTGTGCACGCTGTGTGGGGTAACCATAGTGCCACACACAGGGAAGTGCAGAGAGACTCGTTCTGAGCTGGAATAGAATTAGACTTCCTTTCTTATTCATCCATTTGTTGCAGTTTATCTGTCCTTTGGCAAGGGTGGCTTTGCAGCAGGCCGTCACTGTAGCGGCTGGGTGTGTGTGGGTTTCATGGTGTGTTATTCTGCAGTGCAAACTGTACAAAATGTGCCAGCAGCAGTGTGTGTGCCACAAGGAAGTGTTAGGGGAGGAGTTGGTCCTGCACACAGCACGGCCATGGCCCGATCCAGGGCCTTGGGGGCCTCCAGGAGCAGGTGAAGAGCACGACGACAGTGTGTGGAACCGTGCGTTGCACAGACTGGAGATGACAGCTCTGCACACAGTGCTCCCTTGCTGATCTTAGTCTGGCACTGCTGTCTGCAACAAATTTCATAGCGGTCTTCTCCTGGCCTGTTGAGACCCGCACAAGGAGCGCTTTAGAAACGCCATGGGGATTTATGTTTTGCATTTTGAATTGGAATCCAGGCAGCAACAAAAATCTGGAAGTCTGAGCCAGGGCAGCAATGTCCACATTGCAGTCTGATTTGCTGTAGCTCATCAATTTCCATACTGGCAAGCAGTGATCTCATTCCAGTGTTCCTGTGCCGAAGTAATCCTGTCACATGTGAAGCTGGAATCATTCCTTGCAAAGAACAGTTGAATGTCAAAGTAATTCTTAAGTCGTGCGTTTGGGTGAAGGGAGATCTGCACTGTGTATTTCCCGATTTGTTAAAATGGGTTGGAGTCTCATTTTGCCCAAGTTTTCATGTCTGCTGGAGAATTTCTTGTGTGTACATCCAAGCTGATTACCTGCAGTGTTCAAGTGTTCATCGTTTGCTCTTTTCTCTGTGCAGCATAGTGTTGTTCGATACGTTTGTAAACATCCTTTCTCTCAACCTTGATGAACCAGCTTACGCAGCAGACGTCGCCCAGCTGGAATACAAGCTGGTGGCTGGAGAGCACGGCTTAATCATTCGAGTGAAAGGATTCAATCATAAACTACCTGTAAGTACTAATTAATTTGCTAAGGAATTGTTTAGTGAAGAATATCAAGCAGAACTGAGGAATGTGCCTTATGTCTTTTATGTTGATCAAATGATTTGTTTCTTTCAAGCATTCTATTTGGAATAATTCCAAACCGGTTGTCTTTTTCTGGAAAATGGAAAATTCTGTTTTCTTTACAGCTTCTGTTTCAGCTCATCATTGATTACTTGACTGACTTCAGCTTTACTCCAGCAGTTCTTGAAATGATAACAGAGCAGCTGAAGAAAACATATTTCAATATCCTTATCAAGCCTGAGACTCTGGCCAAGTGAGTTCTGGGGGAGAGTAAAGGAGGCAGCACTGCAGTTGTTGAGGTTGAGCAAGGAGCCCAGAAAACACTGCTCTGTGCTGGTGGAGGTTTGTTCCAGGGCAGCTCGTGGCTCTGACTGCTCAGTATATCAAACTCGAGGCTCAGACCGGGCCTGCAGGTAGCTGCTGTTCTGAAGCAGCCAGCAGCAGGGGCTGAGGCAGGGCAGGGTGAGCCCACAGCGGTGCTCTGGGTACTATCTGCCCATCTGCTGTGTGCTCCTGAGTCAGAAGTGGGATCACTTACATTAGGCAGCTCCTGGGACTTCTGGCTTTGCTTTCCTTCTGTTTATTGCAGGGATGTGCGTCTCCTGATTTTAGAACATGGCAGGTGGTCCATGATAGACAAGTACCAGACACTGATGAAGGGCCTTTCCACTGAGGCTCTCACATCCTTTGTTGAGGCTTTCGAGGCACAGCTGTTTGTAGAGGGTCTCATGCAAGGCAACTTGAACAGGATGAAAATCACCCTGACTCTTGACTGTGGCTCTGTCCATAGTTTCATTTATCTGGGATGGCCTTGGCCATTCCAGCTCTCATGGCTGGGTCTGGGACACGGACAAAAAGCTGGTCCTTCCTGAGGAGCAGCTGACCGTTGACACCCAGTGCCAGGCCTCCAGCTGGCCCTGTTGGCTTCACCTTTGGCCCTGCCACGGATGGGGCAGCCTCTGGGTCGGTAGAGTCATCTACTCTGATACAGTTACATTGGCCTGTTCAGAGGAGCCTCTAGGGTGCCCTAGACCACACTGCGGAGCTCTGGGGGCACTCAGGTTTGCCCTAGGGTATACTGAGAATCCCTTGAAGTCCTCCAGGACACCCTGGGAAATCTGCAGGGGACGTGTGTCCTCCCCAGCAAGCTGGTGCCTGGGAGCAGTTCTGTAGGAGCTCCGTGGAGCAGAAAAACATCCCAAGGCAGTCGTTTGGGCTGTGCTTTGGGCCACAGGATTGTGTTAAGGGCTTGAAGTTATGCGGTGCTGTTGTCAGTTATCCCTAGACCTCTGTCTGTGACAGGGGCACAGGCCCAGAAGGAAACAAAAGAGAGGGGGAAAAAAAAACCAGCTCACCTTTTGCAGCGCAGCCCAGCCGGCCCCAGCCCTGGGACCAATGAGGCAAGGCACCTGCAGGCCGTGCGCTCCGGGAGAAGGGGAGGAGGGCAAGGGTAAGGGAGATAGCAGGTGGGACTGAAAAAAACCACGGCAACAATCTCAGGAGGAACGGTGATTTACTAAATCCGACAAAATCAAGCAAATCAGAGAGAAAAGAGCGTGCAAACACGAGGTCTTACGCTAGAAGACTGCAGGTTTGGAACCACGTGCTTTTCTCTGCGGCGAACCCAAAGAGCAAAACAGCCACAGGGAGAGCGGCTGCATCCTGCCAGCAGCTCCACCCTTCCTCCTCTGCACACAAAGTCCTCCGGGAATGCCGCTCCTTCCCTCCTCTCCGAGAACCCAAAATGCCCAGAAAAGGCAGTCCACGGAACCAGAACGTTAACTCTTTCGCTCACACAGTTTTACGTGATGTTAAGATGTGGAATACCGACAACAAAAAACATCACACAACCTTAACAACTGTTCAACTTTTGGCTTTCCTCTCAAGGGTGGGGTTTCCACTCTGCCCCCAGAGGCTTTTGGATGCAAGTTGTGTCACAGTTTCCCCAATGGAGCCAGCGTTGAAAGGAGCCTGGATGTGGCTCTGGCCACAGCTCCTTCTTGCTGACAAGTGCAGGGCAATGCCCAAAACATGAGGGGTTTGGGCCCACTATCCTGCTGGGCAGAACGTCCTGTGCTGGGGACAGCAGCAGTGCCAGCAGGCTTCCAAGTCCTCCCCAGCTCTGTCACAGTCTCCTTTGTGACATCACAAAGCCGGCATGACATCAGTCTTGGCACAGTCACGCTGGCAGCCTCCCGCAGCTCAGATACGCAGGGCAGCCGCTCTGTACTGGTGGTTACCTCTGGAGCTCCGCTCAAGGTAGCAGCCACTTTGTGTGTTGGATTGTTCCTTGGGAGAGAACAGGATGAAACTCATCCTGACTCCCACCCTGACTGTGGCTCTGGCCATAGTTTCATTTATCAGGGATGGCTTTAGCCGTTCCAGCTCTCTTGGCTGTGCCTGCGACATGGCCAAAAAGCTGGTCCTTCCTGAGGAGCAGCTGACCGTTGACACCCAGTGCCAGGCCTCCAGCTGGCCCTGTTGGCTTGGCCTTTGGCCCTGCCACGGATGGGGCAGCTTCATGTTCGGAAGAGCGATCTTTACAGAGGACCAGAAGCAGCAGCCCCTGGGCACGGAGCAGAAGGCCTTTGAGGGGCCCTTCTGGTCGGGACTGTCAACGTACCCAATGAGGATCTGGGAAAGGGTCAAGAAGATGGTCCTTCCTGAGGAGCAGCTGCCAGTCGTCTCCGAGCACCAGCACTCCAGCTGCCCCTGTAGGCTTGGTCTGTTCCCCTGCCTCACATGGATCCGCTCCAGGGTCAGCAAGGCTGGCGTAACGCAGGGCCCAGAGCAGCAGACCTTGTACACCAAGCTGAAGGCCCTCAGCTTGCCCTACCCTCTGGGCCTCCTTTGGGACTACCTGGCCCAAGCAGGGAAAACCTGGCTCGTCCCTCACTTCCTGACAGATGTCTGCATTCTCTGCCTGCTGAGCATTGCCCGCAGCCTCTGGAGAAAAGTAAGAAGACCTCGGGAACAGGTGAGTGATTGAGGTGCACTGCACGGGAAGGGGGCTGCTGGTGGGAGCAGGGAGCCGCACAGACCTGGTCCGTGAAGGCTTCCAAGGAAAGCAGACCCCAGAAAGTCCACTACCTCCCCCAGAGGGACTCGCTCATTCGCAGATCTGACACCCCTATGCAACTGGGAGCCCCTATGCAACGTGGGGCTTGGAGGTGCTGTGAGCCCCATGTGCTGCACTGAGCGGTCCTGTGAGGCTGGCCTACCTCCAGAGGAAGCCGAGCCCTGCAGGATAATTCCCTGCCAAAGGAGCCTGCTTCCCTTTCTCTCTGCTCATGCTGTGTTCACTTCCAGGGAACGGGACAAATGGACTCAGCTTCCACGGGAACAGACATCTCGCAAGGGGAAGCCATGCATTATTACGACGAGCTCTGTGAGATGAAGTCCCTGCTTCTCTTAATGGACAGATACGTGATGATCCTCCAGAAGAAGAGCAACTGCCAGTGCCAAAGGAAGAAGGAGCAATGAGCAAGGAAGCTGAGATGCTCCTCATCCACTTCCAGCTCCAGTTTGCCACTTCACACAGCGCACCAGCTGCTTCCATAAGGCACAACCTGGAAAACTTCAAAAACTTCAAAACTTTAAGATCAACGATGTGATGAACAAATGATTGGAATATGTCTGTTACTTGCCATCTTATGTCATTCATACAGATGTATAAATAAAGTGAGATTGCATAAAATTTCTGAGGAGAATGTAGGTCAGGTGTAACTAACTGCAGGACTCTACCGCCTGCCAAGTTCTTTCAGCATATATTGATTTCCTTGTGAGCTTCACGCAACCAGACTTGAACACACAAATTCTGCCGCTTATTCTTCACCAGTACTTCTGCTCCCAGCTCGATGCAGCGTGCTCTCTTGTGAGAACTGCAGATGCACAGTGTTTGCATACCGTTGTACAGGCGCCTACTTGTACAGCAAGCCTGCACACGTTCCTTTTCCAGCAGAAGTTCCTAGTCCTGAGCAGGAGTCTGCCAGATCCCGAACTCCTGCATGACTTGCTGAGTACTGTCCTCAATGGGTTGGGTTGTGTTTTTCTTCACTCCACACGTTTCAAAAGCCGAGGAGCAGGGAAATTTTACTGCTGCTGAAAAGCAGAACCTATCCAGAAGCGCAGTGCCACGAAAGCCAGGGACCGAGTTTGCTCGCCTGGTTGCTTCTGCCCTCGTTCGCACTCCGCCATCCCCGGCACGAGCAGAGCGCCGCTCGGTGAACGCAGGGCTTTGCGGGGGGGCGGGCGGGCTCGGCCCTTCGCTATGGGGCGCTGACGAGCGCCGCCTGCGGGGCGAGAGCTGAGGTAGCGGCCCTACCTGAGGCGGCGGCCACGGCCGACCGCTGCGGCCTCGCGCGCGCTGGGCGGCAAGCGGCGACACCTGGTGCTCAGTCTGAAATTTAAGACCGGATGAAGCCTGCATCCGACCAAATGAAAACTTGACGCTGTTTCTTGGAGCTGCACTGATTTCTTTTGCTTACACCAGTTTCCACAGTGTAAGAGATCATACTGTTAACGTCTGTGTCTCAAATCTTGCTGGGGACACAGATAGACTTACTTGTTCAAGTCCAGGCAAGTCCCGAACAAGGAGTGTGAAATCCTTTGTCTCGGGGATGCAGATAGACAAGGCTAGGGGCAACCAGAGCAAGATGAGCTGCAGCTCAATAGCTGAGAAGTGCTCCTTTGTGTGGACCTATCTCAGGATGGTGGCCATCTCAGGGGGTACTCAATGACTCTTGCTCAAGGCCCATCCTTGTCACATAGGCAGGAGAACAAGGAGGATAAAAGGGGAATCGAAAACCATGAGGACAGGTTTCTGGCAACAGATTCCTCATGAAGCAGAACAGAGGGATTCCTGACGATCAGATTCCTCGTGAGGTGACTCCTGCATGCTGTCAAACTCTCCTGTGCCTGCTGCCTGAGTGCTGCTGCTTCCTCAAGGCTTGGCTCCGCGACTTCCTCCACTGCCTGCTTGCTGCCCAAGGCCAGCCACACTGCTGCTCCTCGCCCCCCCCCCCCGCTGTGTCTGCCTTGGACCTTCAAACGCTGTGCAACAGGACGCTGCTGGATCCTGCTGGTGACTCTCCCCGCTTTACACAACTCCTGCTTCTTTTCCATCTTTTCTATCGCCCTCCTTCCCTTCCCTGTCTCCCTGAGTTGTTCCGTCTCCCTGTTCTGTAATAAACTGGTCGGAACATCATATGAACCGTTGTTTCTTAATCTCCGGGTATACAGATATTAAAAGAACCCCATCTCCCTTCTATAAATTGGAGCCAGACACAGGTTCAAAAGTGAAACTCAGAAGACTGCTAACCAGCTGGGCAGGTTGCTAGAATTACCGACACTTCTGTATGAAGAAATAAACTTATTTCTGTAACTGAAGGGAAAAGATTAATTTTTTTTAGTATTTTTATACTGTTTCTAGCTTGTAACCTCTAAGCTCAAGCTTGCCAATGTGACTAGTGATCATTACAGAGTTACGTCATACAGCTTTTTAGTAGATTTCTAGTTCATGTTAAATAAGCTTGTTGGTGGTGATTTGGGCAGCAGGGTGATGCAGTGGTTGAGATGGAATCAGGATGGCTTTGTGCCTCACACCTGCTAAGCAAAGCCAGGCATAATTTTCTAAATGTTCTTCTTACTCTGATAGTTTCCAGCACAGCAGTTCTAGAATATGGACTTTGTCAATTCGAGATGAACTTTTTCTCCCTTCAAATACAGCTGCTTTGCCATTTGATCAAACTCAGAGCCATAATTTAGAAATACAAATTTGACTAAGAAATCGGAGACATTCAAAGAAAGTGACTTGTTGGTTGGAGTTAACTTGGGCGAGCATTTCATCCCCTGCATTTCGTTCTTTTCAAAGGGACATGCAATTAGAGGCAATAAAAGCACATACTAACTCTGAAAAATGTAAATAAAATTATGTATTGAACTATGGTCAGAACACAGGCTTTGAACCATAGAGCGGTGTTCATTTTGTGGAAGAAAAGCAGTCCAGAATGCAAAATGCTAAGTCTTCTCTGCAGAGAAGAGTGTATGAGGTTTAGTTAGAATATTCCAGGAATGCTTTTCTGATGAAAATTCTGAAGCAGATTCCTCTCTGGAAACAGAAAGCACACATGTATGATGATGTTGAGGTTCTCAGTAGGAGCAGGACGGAGTCACTAGAGAACACATGCAGAACTGATGCAGTTCAGAAGTGTCTGACTTGAGTGCAAGCGAGCTACATCTTACATGAGAAGACACTGAATTACGACAGCACAGCTCTCCATTTTATATCAAACCAAGAAGTAGATTAAATCTCTTTCTGTGCTTGGAAGCTTCCTCCAGTGCTTTGATTAACATGAGTATTTGGATGTGGGGTTACTTCTCTAGCTCTGTTGTGCAAGTATTTTACTTAACTTGGAGTCTGAGCCATCAAAGCAAGATGCTTACTGGAATTCTGTTTGTGGTGGTAAAGAAGCTCGAAACTACAACCTCAAAGCATTGCAAAGTTTCAGCAGGTAGAATGAACAGACTTTTAGACGGGATAATCTGACTGCTTTCATTCTGAGCAGTGACTGAAGTGAAGAGACCAGCAAATTTCTAGCATCAGAAGTGACTTTTCTCAAAGGTAAGACTGTATGAACTGCCCAAGTTAACATAAGCTAATTGAAGCTGGTTTTAACGTCCTGACTAGGAAAATAAGGTGTATTTTTTTTCCCATAGGTGGTTTATTTTTCTTGTATATGTGAACAATATCAAGTAGCCTGTTTTATTCACTGTTCTAGGATTCTGTACTGTCTATAAGTTCTTACTGAAGTAGGGGTTGATTAATTTTTCTGGACTTTGATTTAAGCAAGCTTATGCTTTCTCCTGATAATGATAATAATCAAGAGGACAATGGAAACTTTTTTTTTTTTGTACAGTCACTGTGTAATTGAAATGGACTCTCAGCTCTCTGTCTTTTCTTCAGTGATCAGATTATTTGTTTGTAGTTAGTATGACCATGGCAAACTGGATATTTGAATGCAAAGTTTGGCGTGAGCTGGAGAAGGATGCTTCTTCCCCAGTAGGAACAATTCTGCTTGTGTTTAGATGTAACAACCTGTAGCTGAAGGAAGCAAATTCAAAGCTAATTACTGTGCTTCACTGAGAAGACTAACAAAAGAGAGGATGGACTTCTAAACACTGAACATACATGGATGTGGTTGATGCAAGGACAGCAGCTCTTTCAACCTGACATTCTTCTCTGGCCCCACACCTCCTTTACACATTCATACCACCTATTCTCATAAACTATCAAATTCTTACCTTTTTAATGAGCCTGACAGACACTTCACAGTTAAAAATAAAAAGCAGTTTCTTCAATAAAAGCTGCAGGGAACACTGGCGTGTGAGAAGACTTCTCTCAACTAAAGAGAGAAGTTTAGCAGAGATTTCAGCAGTGCAGACATGAACACTTGGCAGTGACTAGAATAAAGAAGACCTACTGACATAAAGAGCATACTAGGGTTGCAATATACTCTTATTTAATACTTGAAACGTTTTTTCCATCATGTTGTCATTGATTAAAGGCTCTGGAATATTGTCAGCTTTTCCAGCATTGTTGAACTGAGTTAAAATGTAATCAACTTAAAACGAATAGAACAAAACAGTCATCTAATAAACATCAGTTTCGTGCTGGAAAGAAAACAGGGTGTTCCTGCCCTCTGACCCACTGCTTGTGTAAAAGCACAAAGTCTCCAGTCATGCAAATAGAACATAAAACCTTTTGCTGTTCACTTCTTTCTCCCTGTAACGAAGCACTTTTGTGGTAGTGTGAGCAATATAAGAAGCTAGCCTTTTATTTATGTCGAAATGTTGTAGTACACCTCACTGAATAGCTTGTCGAACACTCAGCACAATGTTAGACACAACTGATGAGAACGCTGAACAGGATGAAGTGTTTTGGACCGAGGTGCCCCAGGGCAGAGAGTGGAGCAGACGTCCCTGGGCTTCCAAGAGCTGTGGCTCCTGAACTAAAAGCAGTCCACCCAACTCAGTGCAGGCTGACATGGGATTTCTGACACTTCTGCAGAGCACATCTGAGCTTATCACACAATATTGGCAGCTATCATTTTCTTTAGAAGACAGGATTGTGGCCAGATGACAACATCGAGATAGCTGAGTTGTGATTGGCTTGGTTGTGAGAAATGCAAGTGATCCACACCCTCACATGGAATTTTGTTATCAGCCACACATTGGCAGTGGCACATCTTTAAGAGCAGGTGTAGGCAGTGTTGGTTCTTGACTCCAGTTTGTCCTTTGGAACATGTATCTGAGTAAGTACTCATGTTCCCCTCAGTTAAAGTGGATCTGTGGAGACCATGCGGGTTCACAACATCCAGAAAGAGGCTGTGGTTGCAGCATTTCAACATTTTAGTGATGAGTAGAAGATGAAAGCCCAGATCTTTAAGTAAGGGTTCAATAAATGAAACTTCCAGTGGGACTATCTTCTGTTCTGGGGTTTGACTTCCCTCTCCAAAATCTTTAAAGTTGCAGTGGCAGACAGGTCAGCTTGCCTTCTTGCTGTCATTAAGGGATGTGTCAGTATTGTAGGTATCCCGCTGTGTGCTTTTTTGGTTTTCCTTTCAATGGAACCCATTACTTTACTTGTGCACTTGGTCTGGTGTGCTTTCTCCTATGCCTTGCACTTTCTACTTAGACAATAA